TAATACATCATGCACAATACACTGTTTATTTGTCCATTACATAACAAGTTCCAAGTGTCATTAAATGCAATTGTTATTAACAGAACTTAGTTTGACACAGAGGTATCAAACAATCATTGCTCTAAATACTAAATTCAAGGCATATCAGAAGAAACATTCAACAGATTTGTTATCACTTAGTAGAAGACACTTAAATACCAAGTTTTCAAATATTAGGGATGATCAAAGTTTTTTAAAAAAAACCCTTGTTTTTATTTATTCACTCTAAGTATTTAACTATTCAGTAGTATTTACTTTAAGTGGTTAGGTATTAGTTCCCTCAGCACACTATCTGTCCTCAGAGTAAATACACATATACACCATTAAGTCTAACACATGCTAGACTCTGGTAATCTGGTAACTGCACCAACACAAATGGAAGTCTGTGATAGCCATACACATTTTCTTCCCCTTTGTATTCTCTTTATCCAACACAGTGCCCAGAATATAGCAGACACTTAACAAATACCTGCATGCAATTGTAAGTAGAGGAAGAAAAATTTAATTCCAACTAATGGCAGAAGATAAATACTGACTTTCAATTTGAAGATAAAATATTTCAATCTTAAATGTTTTGGAATAAATGACTATTTATAAAATCCTTTCCTTACATTTGAAAAAAGAAAACTAAACAAATATACTATATATCTGTGTTTGAAAAACATGCCAAAGTTCTGGCTTCAGTTGAATAAAATATTAGCTACCTTAAGTATAATAAACATATAATGGTAAAGTATAATAAAATATCTTCCTATAGCTATGGTGAATTATAGATGAAGTATTTGCTTCCAAAACCTCTCATACATAAAATAATGAAATTACTCTGCTTTCTGACTGAAGATAAATTCATTTGGAAAAAAATACTTTAAACTTATCCAATTTAGCTCATAAAACAATAACTAGATAAGTAGAAACCATAAGGTTAGCTAAATGCTACTACAATTAATGCAACCTCTGTACGAAAAGATTATGTTGATTCATGATAGACAAACTGATACATTAAATAAGTCCAATTCTGTCTTAATATAAGCTCAAAAGTAGAGAAAGTAGAAATGGAAATGTATTTTTTTAAATACATATTAGTATGTAAATCTATGCTTCAAAATGCCTTTAAAAATTTTTTTGTACTTGTAGATAGACATTAGAATGTCTTTATTTTGTTTATTATTATTATTTTTTTTATGTGGTGCTGAGGATCAAACCCAGGGTCTCACACATGCTAGGCAAGTGCTCTGCTGCTGAGCTACAGCCTCAGCCCCTCAAAATGCTTTTAATTCATGCTCATATAAATAAAAATAAATTTATAAGGACATTTAATTTTAATTTTTACTTATTAAATTCTATAAAACTAAGAAACCACATAAAAATTACATGTTAATACTGAAAATTTTGTCAGTATGGTACATAAAACTGTTTTAAAAGAATTATGTTTCTTTTCTTTTGGTTGTTTTTTAATATTAATTCAGAATGATTTTTAATAAAAGTAACAAAATAACTATTACTTTAAATGACAGAATTATAGTGAATTCTCTTCAAAATTATTTTTCAAAATGTTAACTGATTCTAAGATCAATTATCATTGATAACTGATAAAAAATGAACTTAAAAATAAAAAATGTGATACAAAATATGTGTAATTAAATGTCCCTAATAGTTGAAAATCAATTTTCCTTTTAAAGTTAGAATCTGGTATGGGTTTCTAAGGGAAATGATTTTAGAAATAAATTCTTCAGCAATTTTATCCTCTGGAAAAAAAATAAGGCAGTATGACATTTTAATTTAACTGATATATCTAACAGTCTTAAAGAACTACTTCTCTTTCTGTTGCCTTCATGTAACTACATGAGGGCAAGGATAACTAAGATTGTAATACTTATAAATTTTACCCATTTACTGCATTTAAACTGTATAGTTTATCTAGGGAGAAAAAATAAAACACCCCCTTAATATTTGTTTCCCATGTGTTCAGGCATATGTTCAAAGGCTACATTTATCTTATTTGAAGGAAAATTTTCAAAAATTATTCATAATGATGATTTCAAAATCATACTGAAAAACCAGGTAGGAATAAAATAATCTTAAAAAATTGTAAAAAATTTAAAACCATATTTTTGGTAAGTTCCATAATTCTGAGTATGAACATAATTTACATGTTAAATGTGCAATTCTTATTTACTTATTTATGACACTAATGAGTAAAATATATCCAAAATTCAATAAAGAAATTCAGAAGAATACCAACTCTAATATAACTAATATTACTATCACAATTTTTAATTAAAGTTTTAATAAACTTAAATGCTTACCTAAGCTATTATTTCATAAGCTCATTACAGAACAGATTTAATTGATTTAAATAAAGTGTAATAAACTTTTGCTTGGGGCTGGGGTTGTGGCTCAGTGGTAGAGCGCTCGTCTAGCATTCATGAGGCACTGGGTTCGATCCTCAGCACCATATAAAGTAAAATAAAGATATTGTATCCACCAAAAAACTAAAACAAAAAAATATATAAAAAAACTTTTGCTTTATGATAAATTTGAACATATATATCATAAACGATCACTTTGTTGTATGTGCAGAATTTTTAAATAATTATAAGCGGTAAATCAATCTCCAAAAATAACACATTACTATAAAATAAACACTTCAAATAGTTTCATGTAGATTAAACGAATAGAAAAATACATTATTATCTCATATAGGCACATCACAACCAATAAAAAATTATTTCACTTCCTGGTACAAACTATTCATGTGAAGTAGTTACTTATTGATCTTATTTATATTTTCATGAAAGTGTGTACACACACACACACACACACACACAAACAGATTATTAAATGTCTTCAGGCAATTTTACTTCTATTTAAATAAATCAAAATGTGAAATTAAAAAACTCTCTAATTATCAAAGAGGATGTTAACAAGTTGAAGTTATTTTCTTAGTTCAACTTAAAACTAGAATGCAACAATATTGCCATCTAGTGTTTCTATCAAATAAGCACTTCCAATACAAATGAGGTCATATTTTTGCAGTTCATTTTAAAAATTAAGTATTTAGGTTAAATACAAATTGTGATTTCCATGGGTAAGAGTATAGTTTTGACAAATGAATAAAAGGAGAAAGAATAAAAATAGAAAAATTCATCATTGGGAGTTAGTGGGAATTAAAAACAAAGCATTTAGTGAGCAATACCCTTCTTTCAGATGCGATTCTCAAAGATATAATTGTATCATACTGTGAAAGTCATTTAATCTGTTTGAAGATTAAAGGCTCAATTATTCATAATAAAGATCATAATATCTGCTGTGTATTTCAGAGTTACTATAACAGCAGAACTAAACAACAACAAACTTTACTACATATTATATGCAGAAAGCTACTAATTGTTAAAAACTAATTTAAATTAAAAACTAATTTCAGGCAAAGCATTTTTTTAAAAAATCTGAATTAAAATTTAAAAAATCATCAGCATTAAGGATCTAAATATCTATTTATGAAGCATAAAAACTGATTGGACAATCTTTCTTCAAGAACACAATAAATGCAGATATTTCCTGTAAATACTGACTTACATAAAAATTGTCTAAATTCAGTGCTGAGAAAATTGAGACTAACCTATTTAACAAAAATTTTAATTTTAATGAAGCTTTTAATGAAGAATTAAAAGCTGTATCACAATAGATTACAAAGTCTGACAACCATTCTGGGACCAAATTTATTCATAGTGAATGAACTAAAATGTACATTATCATATATTTCTTAAACAAAAATACACAGAAAAGACCAAAATGCTCACTGCAATGATATGACCTGCATGTCAATAAATAATGCATCACTTTGCCAACTAATGCCTTTCTGAATCATTTAAGAAATCTATTGTAATACTTGGAATAGATTTTTCTTAAAATGTCAAGTAAAATAGACCCTTAAACATATTTTTTTTTTTTTTTTAATTAAAGTGCAGAACAGTGGCACATGTCCATAATCCCCGCTACTCTGGAAGCCAATGCAGGAGATTCTGCCTGGTCAAGTTGGTGAGACCCTGTCTCAAAATAAAAAATATAAAGGGAAGAACGTGATTCAAAGGTAGAACAACCCTGAGCTCATTCCCCAATACTGCAAAAAATAGGAAGGGAGAAAAAGATCTTATTTCTATTTATGTGATTCTGCTGCCACCTAGTGAATTTTGAGAAAGTACTCTGGAAAACAGATTAATTGGGGGAAAAAAGAATAATGTCAACCTGGAAAGTACATACATAAGGAAGGACACTGTGAAATACTTTCTTATAAAAACATTTTTATGTGTTATTTTAATTAAAATTACATAATTCATGAATTTAATCATCAAGCTCTTCTTTATTTAATCAACAAGATAATTTTAAAAATTCCTTTACTGAAGAAATAAGAGCCAGAAATATTAAATTGTTTTTGTCATCAGGTTATATTTAACAATACACATGAATCTGATATTATTCCCAAAGATTCTATATTTGGAATTTTCAGTTATACTCATTCCTCAGAAATTAAATACAAGTATTGATTCCAGAACCCTCACAGATACCCAAATCTAAGGATCCTCAAGTAGTACTTGCACAAAATTACATAATCCTCCCACATACCTTAAGTCATTTCTAGATTACTTATAATACCTACTAAAATGTAAATGCTAACAGTTGTGATACTATATTTTCAGAGAAATGAAGAAAAAAATCTGTAGATGTTCAGTAAAAAAGCAAATTTTCCCCCAAATATTTTCATCTTGTGATTGGTTGAATCCACAGATTCCTAACACATGAATACAGAGGACCAACTATACTTATCAAGAACAGTGCTGATTATACAGTTAATATATAGTAATACATATTGACAAATAATCTCAATACCTAGAACTTTATCAACTATAATATATTAAAGAAGTCCATACATACGATAGGCAATAATCTATAATAATGCTTACCTGGGAAAAGATATTTGCTGTTGGAGCAACTCTGCTGTCCACAATGCTATATAATATTGCTAATAATCTGTCTAATGGAAATGGTTTTGGTCCAAGTAGATGATTGCTTGTCTGCGGGGGGGAAAAAAGAAGAAGAAAAGAAAGGAAGGAAGGAAACATGGATTTTCTTTTTATAACAGAGCACTCACTTTCTGGACTATAAATTCCCAAAAGCAATATATTTATACTTGTTGTCTTAGTCTGAAGATACTAACAATAAAACACTTTTAAAATATCATGATTTATTTTTTACCTTATGCCTCAAGATAGTCCTAGTATCAACAAATGAGAGCTCACAGACATCTGCATTCGTAAACATTGCTATTTTGCTGCTGTAAGCAGTTGTTAGATGATTGAGGTGAACAACACCAGGTTCTTAACTCCTACAGTAGCATTTATTACTTTTGGCCTCTCTAGATCATTTCTAGAAAATGTACTTGTTCCACATTAACCGTTCTAAAAAATCAAATATAATTAGAAAACTAATAAAACATTTTATAATTTGTAAATAAGCTATCAGACTGAAACAATATAAAATTTATAAATAATTTTAAAAGATTATAAAATGTTCATAGCTGCACACAAATTCATATGGGACAATTATGTCATTAGAAAACTACAGTGTTCCAATTCTATCCTATTAGCATATGTTTTTAGTAGCAATTTAATTACTTTATATTAGCAATGACAAATAAAATGGGAAACCATCTTTATAGGCATGGGAATAACTACCTATTTAAAAGAAGAATGACTATAAAGAAAAACAACTGTTCAGAATTACAAAATTTAGTATTTACTTCAGCTATTTATATATATAAAGACTGTTCAGAAATCATTTATTTTTTAACTTTTGTATGTTTTCCTCAATAAAAGAGGAAAGTTGTTTTAAAGTTGTTAAAACTTTAAAACTTTTCTTAAAGTTATTAAAAACTTTGAACATTTAGAAAAGTACAGAGGTTAATAAACACCAAGGTAAATAAACACTAGGCCAATTTTATCAAATCCTAATGTACAATATGCACAAACAATAAAAAACTGGAACACATTATAGAGAAGTTGAAGACTTACTGAATGCTTTTTAACCTCATCCCTTTTTCCCTTTCCTTCCTTTAATGAAGGTCTTTGTACTACTGAACGTTATGTAGCCACAAACAATAAAAAGCACTATTTGCATCATTTAAAACTTTATATAAATGATTTCATTTTGGAAATATCTCATTGTTTTTCACATTTATTGACAAAGTACAAGGAGTTCTAGCTCATTTTAAACTACTCTCTAGAATTCCATTTTATGACTGTATACAATATCCAGTTTAAAAATTCATTATTACTGTGACTGACTTATCTTGTACATTTCTCCATGTGCACATATGCAAATTTCTCTAAGTGGGATTGCTGGGCGAAAATATGAGGCAAAAACAATGCTGTGTGTTTACCATTTTTTCTTGGGTATATAAGACTTCTTTTCTTAGTCTTTCCTGTAATTAGATAGATGCTATATAACTAAGTGGTGGCCACTGGACTGTGACTAAAAGTGATGTAAACTACTTCCAGGCCTGGTCTTTCAACAACATCCTTTTATCCTCTTTCCCTTTGGCAGCAACTTCAAACTATGCCAGGTTTCACTTGATGTCATTGTAAAATGAAGGAAGCCACCCAACTCATATTTAATTATGTTGTGAGCAATATATAAATTTTTGTTATGTTAAGCCACTGAGAGTTTGGGGCTTTTTATTTTATACTCTGCAAGCCCTATTATGACTAAAACACAGTTCATTCATACTTAACTTGATTGGATATTATCAGTGCACAGAGTAGGGAGGCTCTTAATTATACTACATTATTATTAGCAATTGGAATCATCAGATTTTTTTTTTAGTTCTGTCAATCTAAGAGTGTGAATGTCTCTGTTGCTAAAATTTGCATCTCTCATTAGTGAATGAAGCTAAATAATCACGTTATGTTTATTAAGCATTCAACTTTTTTTTGTATATTTTCTCATTAGGTGTTTGTCTTTTCCTTACTGGTTTGTAGTCTTTAAAAATTTGAATTATTTGTTGTATAAATTCAAGGACAGTTGTAAACATCACTGAAGAAGTTGGAGTCCATCAATCCTGGAACTGAATCCAGGCTCTACCACATATTAACCAAATAACCTTGGGAAAGTCAGTTAATTTTTCTTTAATACTCAAAGTTGAAGAGAAAATCAGAACATAGATCTAAACAAATTATCCTTGTAACATAGCACACAGACACCAAAGAGAATGAATAATGTAAATGACTTAGATACAAGGACAGAGAGAAGAAGGTCTAACATGTCTAGTCAACATCTTAGGAAAACAAATTAGAATGAATGGTAAAGAGGCAATAGGTGAAAAGTTAATGACTAAGAATTTATTGGAATTGAATAAGAATTTATTAGAAGTTGAATATCAATATTCAACTTCAGGAAAAAAAACTAATTCCAAATAAAAAGAAATTCAATCTCAGGTATATTACAGTGAAATGGTAAAAAAAACAAAGAAAAAGAAAAGCAGCTAAATAATACAGATAACAAAAAAGGATTAGACTAGTCAGCAGCATCAATGAAGGCTAAAAGCCAGTAAGATAATATCTTCAAAGTACTAAGAAAACACTATCAATTTAGAAATACCTACTGACCAAAACTGCTTTTAAAAAATGAGAGTAAAAAATAACTCCCAGTCTCTACAGTATAAACTCAACAGTTCAAAATTCTCTCTTTTGCCAAGAGAAGCAGCAAAGGTTTGGACATACCCAGTGAAACAAGGAATCTCAATAGTCTAAATGCTCTTTCACCAATTTCAAACTCACCTCACATTCCTACATTCAAAATTACTTGTGCTTCTACTTTTTAAGCTTTTCCAGATTCCTTAGGCCAAATCATCTATCTTGGTTGGAGTTCTGGTTTTAGCCTCCTCTCATCTGCTTAATGACCTGAATATTTATCTACTATGGAATTCCAAATTTGGGAGCCTCTCACCTGCTTAGTCCTTTGAATTTCTCTTTTTAGTTTTTTCCGTGTCATTTTGAAGGTGTTTCAAAGTGCAAAAGAGGAAAACGCCCATAATCAATCAGCTGAATTTAACTAACAATCCAAGGTGAACTTTTTCATTAACTAGGTCATAAAAACACTGTCAGTTCAGTTTTATCTCCAGCACCAGCTCAACTGAAATGTGTTTTCAATCATTGTATCCAATAACAAAATACTATTACAACATTACATTTTAGTATATCGATACAAATAACTTCTCACATGCAAATGACAAATACAAATACACATCCAGTTGCTATATTTTAAAAATTCACAAATATCTACCATCAGAAAATTCAAAATGTAAATACCTTTTCATGTTTCTTTAGAAAGTTGGTTTTCTTGATTTTTCCATGATGCTGCAATTAAGAAAAAAAATTTTTTTGTTATATTTATTTTTTAGTTTTAGGTGGACACAATATCTTTATTTTCTTTTATGTGGTGCTGAGGATCGAACCCAGTGCCTCAGGCATGCCAGGCAAGCACGCTACCACTTGAGCCATATCCCAAGACCCAAGAAAAACAAGTTTTTTAAGATTAAAAAAAAAAAAAAAAAAATCCACAAAACAAAACAAAAACAGTAATTTGTTTAAAACAATGCACACATAATAATTTATGTGACTTAGACTTTTTAAAATTTTTTATCCTACTTATCACACTGTATATATTATACCTCAATATGTTTTAGGTTGACTTGGATTAGATGGAAGATTACTTCTGCATGCAAAAAGGTTTTTAAATTAAATGGCAATACTTCCTAAAAGAATTTAATAAATTGATTTAGCACTCCATATTTATTGCTATAAAAACAGAATTTTCAAAGGTAAATGAAGGAGGGTGACCCCTGCCCTCTTGAGACTATAGAGTAGTGGAACAGGGGACACAAAAAAGAAATTTATTACAAATTGTTATAAATCTAAAGAAGAAAGCAAATATTGTATGAAACCAGAAACAATAAAGAAGTCCTGCTAAGATAGGCTGTAGAGCGAGAACACTCTGAGAAAGCAGGATTTAAATTGAAACCTGAAAGGTAAGTATTAGAGAAGAGGCTTTTCAGAAAGAAGCAACATGTTCAAAGACCTTAAGAGATTACAATATTCTAAGGAATGAAAAGGCTTCAAATTTACAATGTATACCTGACTCCTTTCTTCTGAAAAACTATCTTCTCCCAAATTTCAGGTTGAAATCTTAATTTAAAGCCTTTAGAAAAAGAGTCTTAAACACGTATTTAAAAATTTCTTATTCTAGCCCATAGAAACTTATAGGTATTGAGAAATTTCAAAACTTAGTTAATTCCTAATATCCATAGGGGGATTGAGAACCTCCCAACCAGATACCAAAACCCAAAAGTCCCTTATATAAAATAGTGTACTAGTTGCATATAACCTACTACATACTTTAAATCATCTCTATATTATCTATAATATCTAATACAATGTAAATGCTATAAAAATAGTTTTTAGGGAATAATGACAAGAAAATAGTCTGTAAATGTTCAGTACAGATTGAAAAAAAAATGGTTTTACTATTCTCTGATGGTTAAACCTCCAGATGTGGAACCCATGGATCCTAGGAGCTCCAATAAGAAAGTGAAAACAAGTATGTTGCTATTACCTTAAGGAAGAATCTCTTGTCAGTTCTTGCTGGATTGTATGACGCAAGGTATGCAGCAATTAGAATAAACTTAGAGTAATATGGGAGTTCCACATGAGTATATGCTGAAAGACCTATACAAAAAATACTTTCATGAAGATATTTATCAGGCTACATTAGGTTTTAAGTATCTCTTCTCATTTAACTTTTGACATTCATAGAATGTTCTCATAGTCTCTGGTTTTATATGGAGATAAAACTGAGTCAACAGTGTTTTTATGACTTAGCTGATAAAAAAGGTCACCCTAGACTGTTAAATATATGATGACCTCTAGTCATGGTGACACTTATAAACTGAGCTGTTGATGGTAATAGTTGCACCAAAAATTATTAATGATATGCTTTATTCATTCTATTATTTTTGCTTGGCTCCTCACATCCTAAAGTCTAAATTCTATCCACTATTCCCTTCAAGGCTATTCTCTTAAATTTTTCTTGATGCTCCCCACCACACCAAGATAGAAAACTATTATCTCTACTATGAATTTCTACTTTGAATATTTCACACATATCCCATATAATATTATGCTTTGTGTTAACAAAAATTATATATATAAATTATACCCCTTACTAAGCTGTAGAGTTTTGTGAAGGAGCCATATCTAGCATTTTTTTTTGTATCCCTACAATGGTATGTACATAGAAAATAAATAAAACAATGAATAAATAAAACATAGATAAGCAACAATGATTCTTAAAGGAAGAAAAGGAATCTGCTCTTTACTAAATATCTTCTATGTGTCAGACACCATGCTAGGGGGTTTTACTTAAAGACCACTTTAAATCTTTGTAGTAATTTAAAGCTAGATATTCTTCCCATTTTATAGATGAAGAAACTGAATTGGGTTCAAGATCATCGCTAGAAAGTAGTGCTGAACAATTACTATAGACTTTTTAAACTTTAGTCATTTACATTCTTACCTTAATAGAGCACAACTAGAAATCACTTGTAAATCATCCAAAACATTCAAAAAGCAAAGCAGACTGAACAATCAACAGCATGATTTCATACCATTTTCCCAACCATCAGTCACTAACATTTTTTTTTTAAATAAAAAATTCTGGATATTCATTCATATTTTAAAAGTAAAACCAGTTCTTTTGGAAGTAAATCCCAAGTAAATTTTTTCTTAAAAACAAAACAACAACAACAACAAAAACAACAGTGCTTTGAAAACACAGCCACTGAAGTATACCCCTAAACTGAGTTAAGATAAAATTGAATTTTATTCCATAAAACTCTCAAAATGTATATGTACTCAGATAAAATCTTGTCATATATTTGTGTTGTTTCAATAAAAACACTGAAAGAAACATAATTGCTTGACTTTCACATGTTATTATCTAAATTTTAGAAAAAGAAAATTCATATTCCATTAAATGAAAATTATATATCAAAATACCATTAGGACTTAAAAAGTAAATTCTCTTTTATAATACTGTTTACTGGCTGAATGCTCTTTAGTATTAACTTTAGTATCAATAATTAAAGATGTAATTCTGATAAGTGCTTCAATACTTTCTAAGATACCTTTTAGTTGTCCAGAATCTGAATCATCTTTCTGTAGCTTCTCCCACTGGGAACTGAAAGAAAAAAGAGGAGCAAAAATGGATTAAAATAGAAGAAATCAATAAGCTATACTTAAAACAGACCCCTAAAATGAGCTAAAAATGTGTATCTATTGACAAAACAGAAAACAAGAAAGACAGTTTGGTAAATATTACAACAATATAAATAATTTGACATATATTATATCAATATAAACTTATAAAGCAATACCCAGGTATTATTTTTTAATAATCTTTTACTCTGATCAAAACTATAAATAGCTATCAAAGAGCACCAAGTAAATACCTACCACTTAGTAAAACAACCAATGTTCTAGTTATCATATTAGACACAATCATTATACACTATTTTTGAACTCTGTAACAACTTAACTGAGTGGGTATTTTTGAACAACTTAACCTTTAGGCCTCAATGTTCTAATGTAATTATACGTAAAGAGAGTACGTATAATTATAAAGAGAGTACATATAATTACATTAGAACACTGAGGCCTAAAGGTTAATTTGTTCAAAAATACCCACTCAGTCAATAGTGGAGCTAAGAGCAGAATTCTTGCACATGCCTTCATGCTATTTTAACTGCTCCACCCTGCCCTTACTTGCAATTAAAACAATTACAGCCAAAATATTAAGAAAGTGCAGTGACTATGATATGGGAAATCAAATTCATAAGGAAATACACTATGGTAAAAATGAAAAAAGACTGCCCCAAGAAGACAGAGGTTTTAGCTTGTAACTGTATAAATCTTTTCTCATCAAAATATAAGGCAGTTAGATATAATGATCTCTAAGGACCCCCTTCAATTCTAAAATTCTCTTAAAACTTTATTGTACATGGGTAAATGGGGGAGGAGTTACACTACTGGGGAAAAATGGATAAGTCATTTCCTATGAAGCAATTCAAGTACTTTCAAATGAAGAAGGCAACACCAGTCTTAGCTGACATTTCTCTACTACCAAAGAATCTAACTTGTCCTTTGTGCCGCATTTTGAGAAAAATGGAAACTAAGGTCACAATATATGATATTATTATAAAGGTAACAAATTGAACAAAACTGCATTTTTTTTAATCCCCCCAAAAATTGGGGGGGGGGGCGAATGAGAGAAATTCAGCAAAATAATATGGCAGAGTTAATAAAACATATATCCTCTATGTCAATAAAAATACATGAGCATAACACACTCATTAAAGAAAAGTTTTCAAAATGCCCCAGAGAGGCAGGAAGTCAGATTAGCAATGCTTATATTTTGTTATCTATCACCTCTGTGGAAGAAACATATTACAGATTACATATTAATTGCAAAGGGAAGAAGATGTATCCAGACACACATGAATGTATAATTCTGAAAACAAAAAAAGTTATGGAAGACAAACCAGGAACTACATATGTGGTTAGGAACAGCGCAGAAGGATAAAGATGGATATGAGACTTGTTTGAGTATACTTTTAATTTTTTTGGAGGGTAGGATAATGGGTTTAATTTTCTATTTGTTTGCTTATTTGGTTCTGTTTGTTTGCTTTGACACTGGGTCTTTTGCCCTGTTGTCCAAACTGGCTCAAACTTGCAATTCTCCTGCCTCAATCTTCTGATTAGCTGGGATGATAGGCGGGTGCCTCCATCTTTTATCTTTTGAAGTTTTGAAGTTTCTTTGCCTCTCATCTCTTACTTGTGCAGCAATATATTCCCTTTTCTCTTTCCCTTCTCTTACCATTTTTAAAGTTGTGATATTTCCATCTTGTTGGAATACACTTATACAATATTCTACCCTCATTTCTACTTTTATTTTAGTTTTGAGTTGCCATCAATCATTTGATTAAAGTTTTCCCAATAATCACTGTTATATCAAGGCTGCCACCAGATTACTCAGAACTGCCTTTTGCATACAGTGGTCCCTGGGTTATTACATGTTTAAAATTGTTTTCTAAGTTTTGATATTGGAAACAGATTCAACAGACACAAAATACTTCCTTTCTTCTTTAGTTTCCTGAAAATGTTGTTCAATATGTTGTCTTCCTGTATTACTAATTCACTTTGCTTTTATCTTTTTGTCTGGAAGATCAGATTTTTTCTTTTATTTTGAAAGTTTCATAAGGAAGTCGAAAGTAGGCTGAATAATGCTCTTAGCAAAGATGTCATCATCCAATGTTACCTTATGCAAATAAAGGGACTTAGATATGGGTGAATAAGAATCTTGAGACAGAGATTATACTGGATTATCCAAGTAGATTTTTTTTTTTTAAGTTCTTGTTTTTTATTTTTTTATTTTTATTTTTTTTTTAATTTTTTATTGTGGGTTGTTCAAAACATTACAAATTTCTTGACATATCATATTCCACACTTTGATTCAAGTGGGTTATGAACTCCCACCTTCACCCCATACACAGATTGCAGATTCACATCAGTTACACATCCATTGATTTACAAATTGCCATACTAGTGTCTGTTGTGCTCTGCTGCCTTTCCCATCATCCACCCTCCCCCCTCCCCACCTCTCCCCTCCCCTCCCCTCCTCTCTCTCTACCCCCTCCACTGTATAACCCTGAGGGTCTCCTTCCATTACCGTGCAATTTCCCTTCTCTCTCCCTTTCCCTCCCACCTCTCATCCCTGTTAAATGTTAATCTTCTTCTCCTGTTCTTCGTCCCTACTCTGTTCTTAGTTAATGTAATCACAAGGATCTTTTTAAAGGAGACATGAGATCAGAGAAAAAAGAAAATGTTACACTGCTGTTTTAAAAGATGAAAAAAGCCACAAGACAAAGAATGCTGGCAGCCCCTGGAAGTTGGAAAAGACAAAACAGATGCTCCTGAAGAGCCTTCAGAAGGAAAACAATCCTGTGGAAACATTTTAGACTTCTAACATTCTTCTTTAAGACATTAAATGTGTGTTATTTAAAGTCACTAAATTTGTGGTAATTTCCTACAGTCAATAGACTAATACAGTCTCAGAATTGACTATTCTGGATTAATTGGGAAGATGAACCCTTTTGAAGCATAAAGCCAGGCCTTCTTTTATTTCTGTAAAGTTTTCTTGGATTTCAATATTAGGTCTAAATTTCAATCTATTCTTCTCTGTCTGTAGGAACTCTCATTACTTATGTTGAATCTTGTCATGTTTATCATATCCTACTTGATTAATTTTATCTCTTCAGTTTTGTTCTCTTGGTTGCTTTTATTCCTCTTTGATGTACCTAATACAGTCTTCCTTGGATACCTTATAATTTCATTTCCATTTCTGAGATGATTACTTTTGCTTGAAATTCATTCCTAAGTTTGATCACTTTTGTTTCACATATTCTGTTTTACTTTTGTGCATTTATTCTAGGTTGTTGAATTTCTAATTAAAAATACTCTTTCATATATAAAGATTATATTTCTTAAAAATTTAAATCAGGATGGGGTACTGAACCTGTATTCTTACAAAATAAAAGAATATTTTGTTTCTTTTTCTGATACCTTTATATGGCTTTTTCTTTTTTTTTTTAATACCGGGAAATGAACCCAATGGTGCTTTATGACTGTGATACAGTCTCAGTCCTTCTGTAAAATTTTTAACATTTTAAGACAGAATCTCACTAAGTTACTGAAGATCTCACTAAGCTGCTGAAGCTAGCCTTGAACTTAAGATCCTCCAGTGTCAGCCCCTCCACCCTCATTCTTGGGATTACAGGTATATGCCCAGTGCCCAGTTTATATTCTTTTTTTAAATGCCTAATATTGGCCTAGACAGGAATGACAGGTATGAATGTAGGTGAGAGGTTTTGGAGTAACTCAGTAGATCTAATTCTAAAATACTCTCTTCTATAAATAACAAAGTGAGTTTTAAAAAATATATATAGTGCCATTTTGAGGGGAAGGGATTATCTTGATTTTGTTTCTGTCTGTGGGGAAGGAAATCTTCAATTTCCACTCCTTCCTACCTCTGTCTTCTATTACCAAGTCTCTAAAAGATACCATGCTCTTGCAAATTGACCTACCTCTTCTGGAAACAGTACTTTCCCAAGACTATTGTGCTGACACTGGTGCTACATACTGCTTTTTAAAATATTTTTTAGTTGTCAATGGACCTTTATTTTATTTACTTATATGTGGTGCAGAGAATTGAACCCAGTGCCTCACACATGCCAGGCAAGTGCTCTACCACTGAGCCACTACTCCAGCCCCAGTCCCACATACTCTTGACATGTCTTTTTGGTTCTCCAGAAGCCAGTGCTCTATCCTTTGGACCTCAGAACTTATTGTGATATTTTCTCACTCAAGATGGACTCTTTCTAGAAGTGATTTCCTTCATATGACACCACTACTAGTCAACTCATTCCCAGCTTCCACTGTCCTCTCCTCTTTCTAGTTGTCGTTGCTTGACTTCTCACTAGAGCATGAACTGGTTTTGTGGTTTCTCTTCACTATTTACGTATAAACTGAAGTATGCAGTACTTCTCAATTACCAGTTGCAATGCAGGCATGGGTTATGAGTAGTTTTGTTGATTATTCTCATTGATTTTATAGAGAAAAATGTATTTAGGTGGGCATAATTATCCGATGAGGAATTAGAAATACTTTCATTACTATGTAAAAATTATTTTAACAAGTACACAAGTTTTTCTATCTTTAGAAGAGTGAAACTTTTCATTCTGTGACATCCCTAATCTGATAATCTAAAATCCTAAATGTTCCAAAACCAGAAACTTTTAAAAGTCTAATATGACATATAAAACAGTTTTTGAATTTAGAATTCAGATTTTTGGATTGGGGATAGTCAACCAGTGAAGTCTATGCAAATATTCCAAAATCTGAAAACAAATCCCAAATCTGAAATACATCTGGCCCAAGCATTTTGGATAAGGGATAACAGCCTGTAGTATAAAGGATATTCAACCTGCAGGACACACACTAACTAGATAGTAATTACCTTGAGACTTCCCTGAGATAAACAGTCTGCATGGCTTTCTTCAAATGAGGTTCAATATTTCTCCACAGTTTGCGAGTATCACGTTCATTTGCTATCCCACAGAGGAAAAAATTTCAATCATTTAGATCTTATAAAAAATGTTTTTCAAAATAAATATGAATAAGTAAAATTATATAGATACCTTCTCCTTTAACCACAGGTTCACAATATTTAGGAAAATTAAGTACTGCCTATAAATTAAGAGAAAAAAGACAAAAAGAATAGAATTATCACAATTAGGAATTTATTTTTCAAGTAAAATTTTATTATAATTCAAGCAATTTCATTTAACTGTTACAGTAAAATGTAATTAGAGCTTACCAGTACAGTAAAACAGCAAAGTTATAAATAATGATAGTAAAACAACATACAAAATATTCTTTAGTTGGCTAAATCTTGTCTAATAGGCTCTACATATAAAATAAAAAAATACAATTTGTATTTACAGGTCATAATGATATTTTGCACAAAGAAATTTTTTTTTTAACTATGATTTTCCAAGGTCTGAACCCTGTCATTAATTAAACATCATCTAGTTTAGTATGAGTAAAAGTATTTGGACTAACAGCATTAGCTGAGATTGTTACCAGTTCAAGTTTTGGGTACCATCAAAGGCATACTAAATGAGAATCTTTGAGGATGAAATCTAGCAAACTATGCTCAACCTCAAAGTCAGACTCGCCCTGATAAACACCCTGTTTTAAAATAAGAGATATTCTAAAGCTAAGCTGGTAAAAAAAATAAAATAAATAAAGAAGAAGTTGAAATTCTGAAGAAGCAGAAGGTATTTATGAAGTTTAAAAACACTTTTCCCCCAAATACATATTACTTACAAAGAAAAAGAGATATCACTTTAATCAAATGATCAAAGTGAACCACACTGGCCTTGGGTTTGATTGCCAATACCACAAAAACAATAGAGTAAATAGCAATCGATAACGGGTTAAACTAAAATCCTGTGCCACCTGATAGGATGCAATAAGACAACACAGCACATTTCTGCCATATTCCTCAGATATGTAACCTGAATCTATTCATGAGGAAACATTAAACAGATGCAGATTTCGAAGGAGTCTATAAAACAACTAGCTTATAATCTTCAAAGGTCTCATAGTCATGAAAGTCAAAAGACAGGAACTGTTTCAGATGAAAGTATGTTCAAGAAACTTGACTTCTAAGTCAGTGATCTGAAGTAGATTCTTTTTGCTCTAAAAGGTATTCATTGAGACAACTAACAATCTTGAACAGGGTTTGAATATCAGGTTGTGGTAAAAAAATCAATTTTCTAATTTTGATCATGGTACTGTGATTATGTAGGAGAATGTCTATATAGGAAATGCACACTGAAGTATTCAGGGATACTAGGGTACCAGGTACAAGCTTACTTCCAAATGGTTTGGGGAAAAGGGATTAATCTTAACTGAACTTACCATTTCTTTGTAAATTAGAAATTATTTCCAAAATTTTAATATAAATTGAAACATCATTCAATACTTTCATTATATTATAAATACTATAGCTTAACAGAACAATTAGAACAAACTATTAACATATCAGTACCAATGAAATATGGTAGTGAGCTATTTTAGTATTAAGTCCTCTCCTTATTCTACTGTTTATACTTCAAATACTCTGGTACCCTCTTCTTAGTCACTAAGCTACACTACTAAAACTAGCCATGGGGACAAATAAAATGACAATAAAAAGTAAACATTAGAAACCTGGCATTGTATTTTAAAAGGATGTTAAGCTAAGTCATTCATTCTTCTCTGAGTAATTTCTAAGAACTTTGATATTTCGGAGGAAAATAAAAAGATTTAAATGTGTAATAGATGTTTAAAAAATTAGGCAAAACTAAAGGTAAGTAAACTCATTATATAGTGTTTGGTATTTATAAGAGTATAAAAACAAATTCTTTGATTGAACTTTCTAAAAATTCTAACTATTTTTAGGACTATATTGAGTATTGTTAGAGAAGATAAATCAAAATGTATTCAAAGTAGTACTTTATTTTCTCCTGTTCTGTACTATCTACAGACCTAGCCTCCAAAAAATACTAGAAGAAATAACAATTTCTAAAACAAATTTAAAAGCACACACAAAAAAGATGACTGAAAAGAATCTTTTGCAGGTGATTTATGAATATACACTCAAGCTATATGCCACTTACGTACTTTGAAATAAAATTATGCAACTAAAGGGAAACAGGAAAATAAATGCCTTTATTCTCCTATGTTCTACATATGTAAAAAAGAAGAAAAAAATAATGTTATTGTTTAGATTTGAGGTGAGACAGGCAAGAAAGTTTAGAAGTGAAATGATTAGTATCAACCTAATCAGTGTGTTATACCACTAATAGGGATCAACTGGATGGCAACTATAGGCAGGTAGGGTGTAGCTGGAGGAGGTAGTCATTGGACGCAAGCCTCTGGGGCATATAATTTGTCTCTGGTCTGCAGTCTTTCTCTATCTGCTTCCTGGTACAATGCTGAGCTACTTTCCTCCACACACTTCTGCCATAATGTTCTGTCTCACCGAGGGACCAGAGCAATGGCGCTGAAGGTCTATGGACTGAGATCTCTGAAACTGTGAGCACCAAATAAATTTTTCCGCTTCTAAAATTGTTCTTGTCAGGTCTTTTGGTCACAGTGGCAAAAAAGCTGATGAAAACAAATACGTAATTTTCCCTCCAATGCTCAAAAGATTTTTTTTATGTTTTTAATATTATATTATAAAGACTTAAACTATATTTCAAGCTTATGAATATGTTAAAACACACTCTAACCTATAAGTAAAAGTATAAGTAAATCTATATGTAAAAGTACTCTTCAGTGAATCCCAAAGGACTTTTAAAAAAAATACCACACCTAAATATATGTATTTTCTCCCTTTACATTCTTTTCCTAAAAATATTTTGAATTTTCTTTATACTTTATAATCTATTTTAAAGTGGCTGACAGCATAGAATCCTACAAAAGTCAAATACAAAGGAGTGTTAACTGCAAGTTATTCACCAGGAAAGACAAACATCTGCCCCTGACTCCAGGAATCTTTCACTTTCCCTGTCTCCTCTCTGTAAGTTCCTTCTATTGTCTGTCATTTCCACTGGGTGCCAGAGGTCCCAAAAGGCATCTTACTTCTGGAGGGTTGTGTTTGTTAGTGCTAAGATTGAACTAGAATAGCTATTTTTTTTTTTAATCTCAACTGAGAAAATGCCTGAAATATACAAGTAAATGTGAAGACACCTGAAATCTAAATGTGAATATAATTTTAAATGGTCATCTTTTTCTATGTTCTGTCTCAAACACACATTCCAACACATATTAAATACTATTTAAATAAATATTTAAGTACTACCTTTCACAGCAAAGAAAGGAAAAGCAAAGAAAATGTTCCAAGAAGGATAAAATCTTTACTTTGAAAGTAACTGTTGTCCAGCCTTAGATATATTACTGACTTTTGTTAACTGGAGAATAAGATCTTAAGCATTAATTGAAGGTTTCTAAGAGGGAAAACAGGAAAAAAAAAAGACAAAATAAAAAGTAAATAAATAAGTTAATTAATTTAAAAGAAAAAGATACACATACACACACACACACACACAAAAAAAAAAAAAACCCCAGAAAGACAAAGAGAGAACCAAAAAACAAAGAGAGAAAATAAACACAACTCTACAATTAAAGTAAGAGAGTCAAAGAAAAAATTAAACATTATACTTTTCCAGACCGATTCTGGATAAAAAATAACTTCTAAATTTTCAAAAATATTAAAAGAATCTTTTATATAAAAATTACTAACTCAAGGTTGGTGGTTAATGAAATACCTGTAATTAAGGTTTCTTACTATCCTCATATCTATCTAGATTATAGGCCAATAGCCATACACATAAAATCCGGAAAAAAATGCATTTCAAAAAAGTAATAAAGAAATCTAAGGGCTGGGATTGTGGCTCAGCAGTAGAGTGCTCGCCTAGCATGTGCGCGACCTAGGTTCGATTCTCAGCACCACATTAAAAAAATAAAATAAAATAAAGGCATTGTGTTGTGTCCATCCTCAAAAAAAAGATTCTCTCTCTTGAAAAAAAAAAAAGAAATGTAAAACTGCTTAAGTTTTAACAACTTCCTGATATCCTTCATATTTATTTTAATGGACTCCTACATTTTTTGCAATTAGAGAGAAGAGGAAGAAAGAAAATGAAGAAAAAAAAAATGTCACTTTTCTAAGTAATGATGAATGTGTAAGTTTTCTAATCTGGTCACAGTGTGTACTAACCTCACACATCAGCCTCAAAAAGCCATGACCAAATTTCCAGAATACATTTTCAGCTTTCAGCATAACTTACACTATTTCTATATGGAAAAAGATTAAAAGATATGTATTTTTTTTAAAGTAATATGCTCACTCACCAAATGTCTAAGCTCTTTCAAATCCCGACAAACAGTATAGAAAACTCCAAGAAGAATATTAATGTAGGCAGCATAAAAATCAGGTGAATATTCTGGAGGACGATCATGAGATAAGATCTTCTGAAGGTGCCCTATTCACAGAAAATAAATTAACTTAGAATGATTAAGACAGCACCTAATCAGATCTTCTAGCATTTCATAAAGGTTAAAAAAAAGAAAACCCCTCAGTCTCAGCAATAATTAAGGAATAATAAAACTGTTACAAGATTAGAATTGAAAAGTACGATTTTGTGAATATATATAACCCCAAATGTGACATACATATATGTGACATACATATATTGTGATACAAACACACACGTACCCAGTTCTTGGTCTAAAATCCTTGGGATTTCCTGAAATGACAGGCGACAGGAGCACCTTATTAATTCACAAGTTAACACTAGTGGGCCCCTAGACAGCATCAGAATTAGACTTGCTGCCAAGGGCTCCACCCCTTGGCCTCCAGGGTAAAGATAAAGTCTGGAGATCGAGTTTATCACCAATGGCCAATGATTTAATTAACCAGGACTATATAATGGAGCCTCCATCAAAACCCTTCAGAGAGCTGAAAGGATAGTACATCCTAACTCCACAGGGAGAGAAGTTCCTGTGCTTGGAACCTTCCAAACCTAACCTCTTCATCTGGCTATTCATTTGTGTCCTTTATAATATCCTTCATAACAAATGGATAATAGTAAAAGTAAATAAAATGTTTTCCTAAGTTTTGTGAGTCATTCTGGCAAATTACTGAACTGGAGAAGGGGATCATGAGAATCCTCAATTTACATCCAGTTTTCAGAAGCACAAGTAGAAATTTGAGACTCAATAGACATTTAAAGTGGGTGCAGTCTTGTGAGACCCTTAGCCTGATTCCTGGTAATTAGTGTCAAAATTGAATCACTGTTTTCTCAGGGTTTGTTTTATTTTTTTACTCTCTCCTCCCCTTTTTTAATAGAATGTGCTGGATGTCTCTATAATTTTGTTCAGATGACTGTAGAACCTGGAAAAGCTGTTGCTGCTATTGATGCATAACATACTGCTATTATTGGTCTTTTTATAGAAATATAAATATGTATATTTAAACTTGAATTTTTGGAAACTTTAGTTGTGCTATCAACTTTGATGTTCTAAAAAGAATTATTAAATACTACTTAAGACAAATGTGAAACAATGACATAAAAAAATCTCAAGAATCTTCTTGTTGGCAAAATCAATAAAGGGTGAATAATAATATGGATTCTAGCTTATTATTCTGCCTACTAAGCAAATCAACTAGGAAAAAAAAAAAAGAAGGGGTAATACACAAATTATGACCACACTAGACTATGCTCTTCATTTGTTATAAAATGAAAAGAATTCATAAATGTTTTTATGATTATCATTGTCTGATGCCAATCCTTATTTTGTCATTTCCCCTTTTACCAAGTGTTTTCTTCCTACAAATTTGGTATCTTTGTTCTATTTCTCTTTTATCTCAAGTTCTATATATAAATTATATGTTTATGGTCCTAAACTTATATTTTATTTTGCTGAAACTATCATGTTATAGGACAATTAAAATAAAGAGAAAAAATTACCTATCACCCAAAACTTTCCAGTTATGGTGCATGAATCAACTATTCATTCATTCCTTATTGTAATGTTGTCTGCTTCTTGGTGCAATGGTCTCCTTAGTCCTCTCGGTTAAGAACTCTGACTATGACTAGTACTTTAAAACCAGTTCCAGAATGTAAAGGTCTTTTGCAATAATTTCAGATAAAAACTCTCCTAGGATAGTTGACCAAAAAACCTCTTTCAAAGCCTAGTTTCATGCTTAAAATATTATACTTCGAATATTATACTAAATGGAAGACTTATTGGATTTGCATTTTCCTATCAAAACCCTGAAAATTTTTTCACAAAATGTCAAAATTTAATTTTGGATCTTAGGTACTTTCCCTCTCTGATAGCAAACTTTAAAAATAATTTTTTTTAATTATGCATGGGAAATTATCTGTTACAATGAAAATTTCTAAAAGGTACCTTAAAACTTAGAAATAAAAATAGATATAAAAGGTGCCAAATAACTGGATGGATGGAAGAAAGAGAAAAAGAGGAAAAAGTAGATGGTCAGACAGATGAACTTTAAAAGCTCAGACTACGTTCCTGAGTGTCCTGTAAACATCTCTGTCTAGATACTCAATTTAGGTAATCTTCAATATCGCGTAAGAAAATTAATTTAGGCATTACCACTGGTCAATGTCAATCCCAATGAACATCTCCTAAGAATCAGAACCCTAAATGCATTGTTGTAAAAGTAGTTTAGCTGCTTAGTTACAGACTACAGATGAAATTTTAGAGTACAAGTTTACATTTAGCAAGTTGTGTCAGATCTAATAGTTTAGGACTATTCAAAGTCATAAAGGAAAAAAAAAATATTTCTATCAGAATGCTGAAAACTGCACCACCAAGTAGTAAATAAAGGAGAAGAGAAACTGATTTTTCTCCTGGTATCTTAAAATTTCACTTTCAAAATATTGTCTAACACACAAAGAAAATCTATTCTTAACTTAAAGACAAACTTTAGCTTCTAATTATGAATAAGAGGATCCAGAAATATTCTCCTGTGATAAAAAAAAAAAATGCTGGACCCAATACAGAAAAAGAATATTTTAAAACACTGAACAGACACTAAAAGACTGTGATATCTGAAAACAGAAAGAAATGAGTTGAGTCATGCCATTGTCCAGTCTTTCTAACCAAGGGTCATTTTAACACTGTGGTATAAGGAAAGTCACAAAAGGAACTCACAAACTTCACTGAGGATACAGAGGCTGTGGTGACGGACTTAAGGACTGAATTTGCAGGGCAAAGTACCCAAGAGGAAGAAGTTAACAGAAAAAGAGCAACAGAAATATGCAGAGCAGTTCTCCTCAAGTCTTTGCTGAATATTGATTTGTGTATGCCTAGAGTAAAACCCCATAATGCTAAACAACAACAAGTTCTGGGAAAAATCAATTACTGGAAAACTGTAAGTTAAACTATTCCACTGCTCACACAGGGCTGTGAACTGTTCCTGTTACTACCAGTCAGAATACAGGGACCATGCTGAATAAATAGAGCATTTAGTAGAGATTCCAGAAGGATGATGTCTTAGAAGTGGAAATAAAATTAACCCTGAAATAAAAGCTATTCCAGATCCCTTATCCAAAAAAGTTTAAAAATTGCCTCAAAATGGTCAAATATATTTTAAAATAATTATAAACGCTTATCATGAGGAAAACCCAATGCACAACAAAAAACACTGCCTATAATAAAATAAAAACTAATAGCTACACAAAAAAGCATAAGGGATAAGCAAAATAGAGAAAAAATTAGCAGAAACAAACACAAAATGAAGAAAAAAATGAGATTAATAGACAAGAAGACTGAAACAACTATTTAAAATATGCTCACAAACTCAAGGATACAAAGGAAAATAAAAGCACGATAAAATCTATAATGAAAAATCCCATTGGATGAGATTAACTTCAGATTAAATACTCATAGGAAAAAAATAGTGAATTTACAGACATAGAAACAAAAGCTTTACCTAGTAAAATAGAGAGAAAAGAAGTTTTCAAATTTAAATACATAAAAAAGGACTTTCAGTGGGAAAACAGCAAGTGACCTAACTTAAATATAATGCCATCGCCAAAAACCAGAAAAGTCAGCAGGGGACTACCAAGAAAAATGGCTACAACTTTTCCTCAGTTGGAGGAAACTACATTCATAGATTTGAGAAGCACAAAAAGCTCCAAGCAGATGAATAAAAGGTATTTTCTTTTTTGACTTTTTATTTCACTGACATTCAAATAATAATATGAAGTTTATAATAAAGGTAGGAGTAAAATGTAAGACAGCATTAGCACAAAGGTGGGAAATAAGAAGTCATTAAAATTTTTAGATTGTTACCTGAACATAATACCTATCCTGACTGACACAATAAGCAAAACCTCATCAAAGCATTATAATCTATCTGAAGCAAAACACATTCCCAAAAGACATAGTCTGCTTTTGATAAAAGATCAAAAAATAAGACTTCTAAATTGGGTCACTAGCCATAAATGCTGAGAAACGGCCTTAACATTAGACATCACATTCCTAAAGATGACACAGGAATCAAGTTAGCATTATTGGATGATATTAACCACTAATTTCATCTCTTTGCCCTGGTTCCAACTAATTTACTCTAATCATAATTTGGTTTATAAATTAATGTTTTATTCTTTGTTACTTTTTATCTGATTATCATGTCTATGCTTTAAAAAAGACTTGACATGTAAAAGGCAATAATCAAACTTAACGTGGATCCATTACTATATACTTTCAAAATATTATCCTATTCTCAACAAAATTAAAAAGATCACTATATTTAATTTTGTCCTCAAACTGTATCTATGCCGCTTTGTAGCTTAAAATTTTTAACCCAAGTCTAAAATTAATTACATCAGACTTTAACTTCACTAAGATGTAGAAAGTCAACATTTTTAGTAATTCACTTAAATTCTAAGCAACTTTTCAATACTTAAAATAGGACATGAAAAAAATTAACTACAAACAGTTATAACATAGTTAAAAAGAAAAGTTTAAATGAAATATTTTGATTTATCCATTTTCTCTTTTCCTTATTTTGTGATTTTCATGAATAAGGACTCCATCTATTTTGGGTTCCTTTAAAAATTATTTTTTAATTAATAAGCTAAAGCAGGAGGTGTTATCTGGCTGCCATTCTTATGACAACAGGCAAAAAAGTGTTGATCTTAATAATGAACATTTACAGCTGATTAGTTTAAAGGGATAGTTTTAATGAAGCCAAGGTCATAGAATGCTTTTTTCTCATACACTGCTAACCACCTTATACTTCACAGTTATAATCTCTGAACTGTAAGTATGACTTTTGCATCATGATAGCCCAATATTAAGCTGCAAAGATATCCAGCACAAAAAGTCATTGTTTTCTTCCAAAGACAAATATCATCAAGACCTATAAAATTGAAGATTACATATTACCCCCAAGAAAGTAGAAACATAGGGATAGCAATTGGTATGGTATCACAGTAATGCAAAATGAGATTTATATAATCAAGATATATTCCATATGTGTACTGAACACAAGGTACATGACAAATTTAGATTCCAATACAATTTAATATGCTGTACCAAACTGATTCCTATTTGTGTGTATGTTATAATCACAATATATACACATCTTAAAGCACCAAAAAAATGATGAAAATATACCACTAGCACAACTATAGGAAAGCTACTCATTCAAAAATAATAATTATACAAGAACAGTCCCTCACAGCTTCAGAATAAAACTTATGTAAGTGCAGAAATAAAATGTAAGAATTTTATTTGAGACCGGCAGCTTAAGTTTAAGACATCAAACTATTGCAATCTGAAGATTATAACTGAATATGTCAAACAAAACATTTTCCTGAATATCATTATTCAAAACAATGTTTTAAAATTTACCTATGCTATAATCAGGGAAATACAAGACAAATGGCTCAAAGCACCCAGTATCTGGACGAAACTTTTCCCAAATAATTTCACTGAGAAAGATAACAGTCACATTTCTGTCCGTCTGTAAAAGAAAGAGAAATAAAATAACTTTGAATTTAAAAATGTTAATCAGAGAGGGAATTCCATTTGGATTTTTCTTCAAATAAATATAGCAAAGCTCTAACATATAACAAATTATCTGCATATTAATAAACCATGTTTGGAAAAACCTAATCAAGGAGCTCAACCATTTACATATTTTCAGACAAAATTACTTGGAATTTCCATAAAATTTGTAGGTTAATCAACATTTCAGTTACACATGAATGCTAGGACAGTCACACAGGACTCATTTCATAGAAATTAAGAAGCATTGTCACTTGAAAAACTAAGACAAACCTTTCATGACAATTTTTTAAAAACCACAAGTTTTTAATCCATAAACAAATAAGGCAAAACCCAGCACTTCTCATTAAAATAGCCAGAGTAACTCAAAGAAAAAGAAATATGGAATTGAAGAAGAGCAGATATGCCATTCTATTTAATTCATAAAACTAGGAAAACTTAAGGTTTTCTCAAAGGCTATACAAGTAATGATGAATCTTTGTATCTAAAATAACCGATGCTAATTATATATTTAGAAATTACAATTAGTATACAAAAGTAACATGAAAAGAAGAAGCTCAATGTGTCTGTTATCCTTCTACAGAGTGGCCACAAATGTCTGTTATATGCTAGCTAGAATTTATCTGTACACACTTCTTCATTTTCCACATAATTTAAATTTTCCCCATATCTTTTAGATATCTTCTAGGCTGACAAAGCAAATGTTAGCTGTTTTTGTCTGCAAGTATTCTTAGGGTCTAATCTCATAGATAAATCACACCATACTGTTGTGGTGTTTTACTAGTTATTGATTCCTTACTTTTGTGTTTCTTTCTTTTTAAAAATTTTATATTTTATTTAGAGACAGACTCTCACTGGGTTGCTGAATGCCTTGCTAAATTGCTGAGGCTGGCTTTATACTCTCAATCCTCCTGCCTCAGCCTCCCAAGCTGCTGGGATTACAGGAAAGTGCCACTGTGCCAGCTACTCGTATGCGTCTTATATACCAATTTTCACTACTTAGAAAAGCATTCTTTTGGTTAACAAAGACAGCTGAGTTCAATAAATGAATAATTCCATAGAAAATATATCTTCTTTATAAGAGAGAGGAAGAGTACACTTTTTGTTTTATAAACTCATCAATTTTTAAGAATCTCTGAAATTATTTCTCTAGTTAGGAAAGTATGTTCTAACCACAATCCTGATTACAAAGCACATGCAAAAGTATTCTATAAAATCAGTTAGAAATACAAGAGAAACTGGATGCAGTGGTGCATGCCTATAATTCCAGGTATTTGGGAGGCTGAGGCAGGAGGACTGAAAGTTTTAGGTCAGCCTGGGCAACTTAGATTCTGTATCAAAATAAATAACTTCAAAAAGGGCTGGGGATGTACATCAGTGGTAGGGTATCCCTGGGCTCAATCCCCAGTACAGGGTAAAAAAAAAGGAAAATTTTTCAAGTCTGAAAAGATCTTAAATTTTAAATTAGTGATGTTCTCAACTGTTCATCTCAAAGTACTTTCAGTATATAATGATTTTTATGAGTTCTTTTTAGTTGTACATAAAATAGGAATCATTTTGACGTAATTATAAAAGCATGGAATATAATTTGTTCTAGTTCAGTACCCAGTATTTACCTTTTCCCTCCCCTTCTCCTCCCCTCTGTTCCCTTCCTCTACTCTGCTGGTAATCTTTCTTCTATTTACTTTTTTCTTTTTTAATTAGTGTTATGTGAATGCACATGATATTGAGATTTACTATGGTATACTCTTAAATTTAGTTTTCCTCAGATAAATAATAAAAATGCTTTCATTAGAGTTCTCTTAAATGAAATACACTTTTAAAAATCAAGCATGTTTTGGAAATGTCAAAAGCTTAATTCTCTGTTCTGGTAGAGTTAAGATTACTGTAAACTTTTAATCTTATTTGAACAGTTTCAATAATTAAAACTAAAACAGTGGAAGGCCTAACTAATGTGAAGGGACATATGATGACCATCACCAGGGATGTGGAGGAAAAGATGTCAATCTACACTGAAAGGGCAAGAGGACAAACATGCCCTCTGGGTATCTGATGGGGAGTCTTAGAATAAAGCAGTGGGAAAGAGTGGAGAAGGTTATGCAAAAAAAAAGAAAATCCTGGCAACAATAATAACCCTCCCATATAAACACCAAACAAAAGGAAAGGAAGGCGGGGACAACTGGGAAAGGATAGACTTTTGTGGCATTAACTTCCTGATAGAACCCCAGAAGCTATACTTCTCTCCTGCCAGCAGCTACACTTCTCTCCTGTCCTATACCATTAGCACAACTATAGGAAAGCTACTCTGACTAAATGAGAACTTTTGAGAGTCTACCTTAGGAACACAATGACTTCAGTGACACCAAGAAGGACTCTTAAATTTAAATTTATAATAGTTTTTTGATATACTTTGAAAAAAGGAATATGCTCTAACATTTATCTCCAAGTATTCACTTAATTTTTATTATAATATTGCTTAGTACTTTAATATATAAAACTAGGTAGGTATAAACTACTTATGCTCAAAGCACTTAAAAAATTATAAAACCAAAATAAATGTATTATTAAATATGAACTACAAAATCAACAAAATTTATATTAACTAAAAATAATGAAAGGTACAGTTTGGTTCAAACTAGCTCTTTGCTTCCTTTATGAATATGATCCTAAACAGAAAAAAGCTATAACTCTTTTGAATTGAGCATTCCTATATTCACTGATATTAGTGAAGAATAAATTTTCTCACCAACTTTCTTTATTCAAAGACTCCAAACCCTTCCTTCTCCATAGTACTATCATTCATCTGACAATCATCCATATTAAATCCACCCGTCTCTTCTCATTGGGCCATGACAAAATAGTAATACACAACAATAAACAGAAATACAAAGCTGAGTTCTGACATGGAGTGGCCATAAGATAGCCATTCAGATGACCCAGAATAGCCATTTCCTTCTCTTTTAGATTACTAAATAAAAAGAAAAACATAAAATTCTTGTAGAGCTCACAGTCTTCCCCCTTGTCATGTACTCTAGCAAACACCTAAAATTCTTTAACAGAATGATTAATTTATAATTAGAAATAAAAACCTAAATAACTGAAGAGTAAATGTTATCAATTCAATATCAATATTGATATTGATACTAAGAGACCAATTCTCACCTATGACACAGCAAAGTGAAAAAAAGTGACAACATAATCTATCAACTGAGGAAAACATCTGTTGATGTACTGTGAGGGAAAACACTCTCACACATTACTTACCAATTCTTGTAACCTAAGAAATCCTGGCAAAAGATTTGCTTCCATATCTCTTAGATATTCTGCTTTATCTAGAACCTCAAAAAAAAAAAAAATGCACTGTCAAAAACCAATTATGAATTAACTTTTAAAATGTTATTTACATTCTTAAAACAGACTTGTAACACATTTTAATGTCTAAATAGAAAATTAATTATAGCTACAATAAAATTATTTAATACCAAAAAAAGATAATGGTATAAGGTGCTCTGAGGGCATTTTCTTAGATATATAATAAACCATGTGCATTTTTCATTACACTTGATAAAAGATAAATACCTACCATGAACCAAAAATTACACAACTCTATGACCCATGAAAAACAGAAATAGCTCTGAATTTCATCATACAAAACTTCTCTTGCTTGAACTTTGTAATAGCATGGTACAAAAGTTCTTCTTTACCTAACTAGATAACTGATCATGTTAAAAAAAGATTAAATTTTGTCCAGTGTTATGATAATGCTACTGTGACTTTTCAGAAGCATTTATCTTTTAGAGATATACAATGAGGCATTTATAAGTATCATGATACGATACAGGGGACAACAGGATGCGTACAGATTATACAAGTTTGGCCAAAGGCTAATAATTATTCAAACTGGGTGATGGTTCATCACACTATTCTCTTGATTGTACCTAACTTCGATTTTGTTTCTTCTATACCCCCCTTTAAACTTTCCTTGCTGTATTATTTAAAACAAATCCCAGATACTGTATCATTCTATCCACAAATGTCAGCACGCAGCTTTAAAATAAGGACTCTTTATGAAAACATAACCACAGTATCAACATACGTTGAAGAAATTTCCCTACTTGTCCCATAAACATTTTACTGTTAGCTTGTTTGATTCAAGATCCAAAAAGGTCCACACGCTATATTTTATTACATTTGGATTATTTGTCTTCAAAGTATCCTCTGTGTAGTTAACTGTCTACTTTTGCTTTATTCCTAGACTTGTGATTGTATTCTAGGCCTTCCCAGATAATCTAGGTACATCTGTCCATCTCAAGACCCTTCACTCAATTGCATGTGAAAAAAGATACTTTTTCAAAATAAGATAGCATTTACAGGGTCCTGAGATTAGGAGCTGATACCTCCAGGGACTATTATTTGGTCTACTATAGTGCCCCACTAAGTTAAACTCCCAATGTAACCAATGAGTTGGACTTTTGTGCTTTATATGTATTTGTTTAGTGTCACTATGAGTTTATAGTTTAAGATACTTAAATATTTCCACCCATTAATTCATTATATTTTTGTCCAATTTTTTGCCAGCAAGCTCCCTTTCAAATTGGCTTTTGTGTCTTTCTTTAAATGACCCTAATAGTCATTGATAGTTCCTAGATTTCTAGAATGGTAAAAAATCCTAGGAACACCTTGCGCATTTTCTGTCCAGAACTAAAATCATTCTTTCTCCAAAGAAACCTATTTTTATTTCCTAAACATTTACATTTCATTAATAAACCTTATTGCAAATTATAATCATAAAATTAGGAATAAGATTAAGATGCAGGAAATACAAGTTTCCCCAAATAATCCAAGTTGTTTATATCTATTTTATTTAATAGACAGATTGAAACAATGTGTGAAAATGATCATACTTAAAATGTTTTATTTCTGAGCTGGTATTATAGCTCAGTGGTATAGTGCTTGCCTAGCACATGTTACGAACTGGGTTCAATCCTCAGCACGTTGAAAATAATAATAATAAATACATAAAATAAAGTTAAAAAATGTTTTATTCCTAATTTGTTTGGATAAGATAAAGCTAAAATCATTTATTGCTATAAAGATACAGTTTCTCCACCATACATTCCCATAATGAAAAATTTCCATTAATCTCCATTTAAATAAATGAAGAACACAAATTAATTCAAATAAATTGGTCAATCTTTATGCTTATTTTAATGAAAAACACAAAGCTTAACCAGTAAATAGTTCTTCTGATTTGATAATAATTAACCACTGTACTTAATAATTTTGATATTCTAATTAATAGTCCTTTATCAAAAGCCATTATCAAATAACTAATATTCAGAAGTAAAAATATAACTTAGATCCAAATATTTTCCTTCATAATTTACACAGAATCATTCTACTAGATTCTTGATTTGTAAGCTAGTTTACTGACTAGAAAAAAAATTCTTAGCAACTTTTCTATATTACTTCCTCAGTACTGAAGCTTACATTCATATATTTGACAGCTTAGCAATCTATAAGGTTACTCTAAAAAATATTCTATATTAAACACCTGTACATCTTTCTATCCCTAGGCAGCTAACAACTAACTTACTGAAAAGTACTTTGATCTACTAGGTCTAAAAAATGGTCTTAAAAAAAAAAAACATTTTTTAGACCCAGTAGATCAAAAGTACTTTGATCTACTGGGTCTAAAAAATAAGTCAGGCCATGACTTATTCCTCGTGGTTATTTCTAAATCATTGACTCTCCCTCCTTAATAAAGTCACTCGTTTTTGAAATTCTATTTTTTGGGGTCAGCCACGTATTCTGGTATCATTCCTCTTTGTTCCTTAAGGATTACAGTTTTTGATTACCATTTCTCTAAGACAACTTCTATGTTTTGAATAGCTGACACTCTATGGATACACTGGATTCTTAGTTCCTTACCTTATGAAACTAATGTCATAATACTAAAATATTTTTTGCCTTTTTCACCATGTTAACATTTGCACTAATGGTGCAAAAAACAATGGTGGTTTAAACTATTGTCATCTTAGCATAAATCAACAGAAAGGCTGCAAGCAGCCCTAGTAATCATTATATTCTTCACTATGCTCTTTTGATAAGATAAGAGATGAGCTTTTTCCTAATCCTTCTGCTACATAAAGCCAAGAACCCTGAATATTATAAATAAAACAAAGCTCTGAAAAGTGGAAAGCAGAAGGCAGAATGGCTAGGGACCTTGGGCGCAGAAGAATGACTTCAATGTTTGCATCACCTGGTCATTTTGCTTCACATATCCCAGACGTGGAGTTAAAGAAGCCAGCAATACACAAAGATCATTAGGTGTAGACCAAAAAGCCCCAACAGAAAACTACTCTCTCTAGTTAAAAACCATGAAAGGGACAACCCAACAAGACTTCCAAGATACCACACTCCCAAGTTGTCTCTGCATTGCTGATTTCCTCTCACTGTCCTTGTTTGTTTTTTCCTCATCCCCTAGTCTCAGTCATTGGTCTCATCTCTTTCCAAATTCAGCCTCTCTTGCTAATCTAATCCAGTCTCAAAGATTTATATACAATTTACATGTTCACTGCTTCTAAATAATTTCCCCACATTGGACCTCTCTTGAACTCCAGATTCACATGTGCAACTAGAATATCTTCCACTTGGACTTAATAGTCCACATCAAATTCCTGATCACTCCTTCCTTCCTAGCAATGCACACCTATTGTAGTATTAATTCAGATAATGACTAAGCCAGCTTTTTAGGTGCTCAAGTACTTTTTTTAATACCAGGATTAAACCCAGTGGTGCTTAACCATTGAGCCACATTCCTAGCCCTTTTGTATTTTGAGAGAGGATCTTGCTAAATTGCTTAGGACCTTGCTAAATTGCTGATGCTGACTTTGAGATTGTGAGCCTCCTGCCTTAGCCTCCTGAGTCACTGAGATTACAGGTGTGCACCACTGTGCCTGACAACTCAAATACTTTTGAGTCATCTTTGACTTCTTTCTTTTTTTCTCCCCCTCTCCCTTCACTGATACATCAGGAAATTCTGTCAACCCACCTTTCATATCCATCCAGACCATTTTTAACCACCTGCACTGCTACTAACAGGTTCTAGTCAACACAACGTTTTGCCTAGAATATTACAAAAGTCTCGAAGCAAGTTCTATTAATTTCCTAGGGCTGTCTGCGGGGTAAATAAATAAATAAATAACTTTCTTCACTCTCATAAAACTTCCAAATGTGTGGGTTTTTCACACACCAAACAATTTTCAGTTCTCTGTGGACATCAACTGGGTATCCTACAATTGGATTCAATTCTGACACTATCTACCTGGAGTTAGAATCAGATTCCACAAGTTAAGGGAGGGTTCCCCCCACCCTTGAGTTTGATAATTTGCTTGAACACCTCACAAAATGCAGGGAAACATTTTTTTTTTTAGATATCTACCTGTTTATTAAAAGGGATACCACTCAAGAATAGCCTATTTGAAGGTTCCATAGCACAAAGTATGAGAGAGGGGAACAGCACTTCCATGCCTTTTTCAGGTACACCAACCTTCCAGTACCTCTAAGTATTCAGCAACCTGAAAGCTTTCTGAACTCCTTACTTTTGGGGATTTTTACAGAGGCTTCATTATGTATGTAAAGTGATTAAACAGTAGGCCAGGGGCTGGGTCTACAGCTCAGTGGCAGAGTGCTTGCCTAGCATGAGAGGCACTGGGTTCGATCCTTAGCACCACATAAAAATAAACAAATAATTTAATAAAGACATGCTGTCTACCCACAACTACAAAAATTAAAAAAACAAAAACAAAAACGATAGGTCACCAGTGAATTAGTCAATCTCTAGTCCTTCCTCCCTCCCAATAGGTCAGGTTGTGGGCCTGAAAGTTCTAACCTACATGATTAATTTCCCTAATAACCAGTCTTCATCATGAGGTTATTGAGGAGCCCACAGCCACCAGACAACTCATTAGTTAAAAAACAAAAATTAAAACAAAACAAAAAAATATATCACTTTGAGATGCCAAGGATTTTAGGAGTATGTCAGGAAATGGAAAGAATACCAAATATATATTTCTTATTACATCATAATCAAAGGCTACCACAATAAAACACCACAAATAGGTGGCTGAAGCCTACACTTACTGTCTAAAATAGAAGTATTGAAAGCACCTTATTCCCTCTGAAGGTGCTGCAGAAAGATCTATTTCAGACTTCTCTTCTAATTGCTGGTAGTTCTTTGACTTGTGGCAGCACAACTCCTATCTTTACATGGCATACTGCCTATGTATGTCCATCTCCAAATTTCCTCCTTTTGCAAATCATATTAGATGAGGGGCCTATCCTTTTCCAGTGTGACTTCATTTAACAGAGTAGAATGGCAATTACCTTATTTTCAAATAAGATCACGTTCTAAAGTAACAGGCACTCAAAGTTCAACATATGAATTTTGGGAGAAAACAATTCAATCCACAACACTAGCATGCTTGCCTTTACCTTTGCACCCTTCAGTTGATTCTCAATACCACCTCTCCCCACCCTATTTACAGTATTCCAACCACAAAGGCATTCTTGGCATGCCCCAATTTCCTTTGCACTTTCATTTAATCTCTTTCCCTAGAATACTCTTTTTACAAATGTTTGTTCACGGCTTGCTTCAAACTTCTTTTACATTTTACTCAGGTATCATAATTTCAGTAAGATGTCCCCTATTTAGGAAGACAACTATTATACTGTCCCCTATCTCCCTTGGTTCTCTTCTTCAATGTCATGAATGCATTGTACCTGACATACTGTATGCTAACTTGTTTATTATCTTTCTCAATTAGAAGAGGGAAAAATAAGGTCTGTTCTATCTCTAATAACTAGAATAGTGTCCCTGGTAATACAGTCCTCAATATTTTGCTGAATATATAAATGAACAAAACTAAAATGTAGAAGAAAATATATAAAAATATTCTATATATTTTAGGAGATGCAAGGATGCATAAAATTTGGTCCCTTCTGTGAATTTATAATTTAGTTGTTATATTAAAATTTAATTCCAAATCCAGTGATAATTATTCCTCTTAAAAAGATTAGAGGGGTGGGCTGGGGTTATAGCTTAGTGGTAGAGTGCTGGATAGCACATGTGAAGCACTGGGTTTAATCCTCAGCACCACACAAAAATAAAGAAGTAAATAAAAAATAAAGGTTAAAAAAAAAGAGTATTTTGAAAAATTCACTAATGTAAAACACATTACAATAGTCTACCTTATTTGTAGGTTTGCTTTCCATGGTTTCAGTTACTCATGATCAACCACAGTCCAAAATTATTAAATGGAAAATTCCAGAAATAATTCATAAGTTTTAAATGGCATGCCATTCTAACTAGCTGATGAAATTTCTCGCTGCCCCACTATCCTAGCAGGGATGTGAATCATCCCTTTAGCAAGTGGATCCACATTACCTCCACCTGCTAGTCATTTAATAGCTATCTCAGTTATTAGACTGATTAATGTCAAAATGCTTGTGTTCAAAACCATTCTTATTTTACTTAGCGATTATTCAAAAGAGCAAAAGTATTGATGCTGGCACTTTGTATGAGACCAAGAAAAGCTTTATTGAAAGTAGGGTTTTGGGAATGTATACATACACCACAGATAGGGGACTACTGTACATATTTTCAATTGTCTGTTGGTCATTTTCACATTGACGTAATAACAATTCAAACTTAGATCACCTAAAAATCAAACAATTTGCTTTTCACCCCAAACCTAACCCATACACAAGTGACAAGTCTAACCTTTTCTGTCTTTTTCCATTTATTTCATTTTTCAACTTTTGCCCCAATTCTAGCATAGGCCCAAATTTCCTCTCATATCCATAGTCTTAATAGCCTCAAAACCATTCTTTTAGCATTCAACTTTTTCATCCTTCTCCAATTCATATTTAACACATGTTCAGAGTAATCTTCCTAAGCCATATTTGTTACTCTTAAAACCTTCACTCTTGTCCTTTCACTGCCTAAGAAATGAAATAAAGTGCTTTTGTATAGTTTTCAAGACCCTTCATTATTTGATGCCACCTATCATTCTAGACTTCACTTTCTCTTTTCAAGCTTTGTAACATACTACAACTAGATTATGTGGCATTCCCTGGAATCCATTCCATGCCTTTGGCTACACAATTCCCTCCATCTGAAATTTTTCTTCTTTAGTTTCTTCCAAAATTACCCTAATTATTCTATTAGTGCTTGAAATGCTACCACCTCAAGAAGCATACCAGAGGGATTTAGTCAGTAACTAGGCAGTGATTATCACTTATCACATTCTGCATGCAGTCAGTCATATGTGAATATTAATTTTAATTCTTCTGATAAACAAAGTTCCTTTTAGATAAAGAATAGTACCAACATTTTTGTATCTCCAAAGCACCTTGTATAGTAGCTATTGGGGAACTATCTAATAAACAGTTTTCACATAAGAGATGACATAATCAAATTACTTACAATGTATACAGTTTGATCCTTGAGACTTTCAGCTTTGGTTACTTGTTTAAACAAGCGAACAAAGTCATTAAATGTTTCACAGGTTATTTCAGTAGAACATCCCTCCTCTGACGAAGTAAGATGACTCAACTTGTTTAAAATCTTTTCCAAAAGTAGCCTCAAGGTAAAGCATTCGACACAATTCACAAAGACATGTGGGAGCTGAAAAGGAAAACCAAAAAGTATAAATAGAAAATGTAAATGCAATATACATTTGTCTTTCTATGGGGGGGGGGGGGGGGTAGCAGGGATTGAACTTAGGGACACTCAACCACTGAGCCACATCTCCAGCCCTATTTTGTTTTATTCAAAGACAAGGTCTCACTAAGTTGTTTAGTGCCTCACTGTTACTGAGGCTGGCTTTGAACCAGCAGTCCTCCTATCTCAGCCTCTCAAGCTGCTGGGATTGCAGGCGTGAGCCACCACACCTGGCTCCCTTTCTAAATCTATGCACTACCATTCTCCAAGTTTCCCTGTGCCCCAGGAACCTGACCACTATAGACTAAATCTCCCAGATTCCTTTATTTTCTAGCTGTTTAGAGAAACCAATGGGAAAAAGCATCAGGAGACTGAAGAAGAACAGCAGGAGCTACTCTTATTCCCGTGAACCTCCTCCCCACATCCAGTGACCCAGTCTGGCTACATTCTTCTATCAAATACCAAATTCCAATTGGGCAGCCCATCTTCTTTCTAAGGCTACAATTCTTGCTGGATTCTTATAACAGGTCCTATCTAGAGTCCCTTCAAGTCTAGGGGTAGTAAAGGCCCTGGTGCGTCACTATTCCTCTTCGCTCCCTTAAAAACTCTCAACTTTTAGAAAACAGTGTCTTCATTAAACTCACTTTGATTTTTTTCTTTTGAGCTTGCCATTTGTTTTCTACAAGGATTCAAAGCAAACTTGTAGTTTTTTCTAAACAATTATTTTTTTAACTTTATTTTTTTTTTATGGTGCTGAGGATCAAAACTAGTGCCTCACATGTGCTAGGCACCTTACCACTGAGCTACAACCCCAGCCCCTCCTCTGAACAATTCTTATAAAGAAACCCGAGTACATTTGAATGCTAAAATTCTTAGAGGGAATTTCATATTTATAATTTAAAGAAAATATATTTCATGATGAAAGAATTCAGGTTAAAAAAAGAATTTTAAGAGTTAGAAGCCAAAATTATCTTCCAATGAGAACTATAAGAACTTGATGTATGTTTAAACTATCAAAATGAGGTAATTCCACAAGTAATAAGGAAATATAATCTGTTCTTAAAATGAAATCACAAAAGCAATACTGATCATTCAGAGGAAGGTAATTTGTGGCATTTGGCACAAAGAATGAAAGCTATAACTATGTTTAGTGACATTCTTTAATCCTCATTACCAATAAGGAGGCTTTTTTCCTCTCTGTGTAAAAGGCTACTTAATATTTATCTTGGGCAGTTGTATCAACATTTGCTAACCCCTTTCAAGCTCATTCCCTTAAGTATAAGAGTTACAATGTCTCTAATTTAGGTTTCTTGCTTAACTGCATTTGTGCTTTCTAAGACCTTTCATAGCAACCTATTCTAAGTACATACTTCTGTACCTATTCCTGAAGCAGTGAGAATCAAAAGAGATTAAACTGATCAAGTAGGAGCAAAAATTACAGTGTTAAAAAATGGAATTCAGGGCTGGGGTTGTGGCTGTTGTAGAGCACTTGCTTAGAATGTGTGAGGCACTGGGTTTGATTCTCAGCACCACATATAAATAAATAAAATAAAGGTCCATTGACAATTAAAAAAAATGAAATACAGTTCTTAAATATGAAACTTTCTTATTTGACTTTCAAACTTTTTATTCAACATGTATTTTCTGGACACTTCATACACAGGTTCTTAAATGCAAATGTCTCAGTCAGGACCTTGTACATTTGGATTCTAAAGTTGGCAAGTTGAGTATGGAGCCCAACAGCTGTGTTTTAAAAATGCACAGAAGATCTTTGGGATCAAAGGCTAAAGCCCACAAGCTGAAATGTGCCAAGCACTGTTTGGTGCTTGGAAATGAGCTCAAGAAACTCAGTCTAAAGCCAAGAAAAAACAACACAAAAATCACAGCTGAGGTGGGTAAATATTACCACAGAATTTACAGCATTGAGGCTGCATCCTCAGAGGTAGAGTAGGATTGAGGTTAGCAAACGAAAGCCTGAGGGCTGGCCACATGTTTTTGTATATATAGTTGCTATAAAACATAGCTATGCCCATTAGATAGGTACTGCCCATCCCCAGCTTAGGATATGAAACAGGGTGTGGCAATACTCATAAATAATAGCAGCTACCCTTTACCAGTTTTACTATACCCTAACTACTGTAGCAAGAATTTTTCATGTATTAACATTTAGTTCTCATAATAATCCCAAAGGTTGTCACAATTTTTCCTAGTTTGCAGATGGGGAAGGCACTAAGTGGTGAGTTCACATGAGCAACACAAGTCTGCCAGATTCTAAACCCCAAGGTCTTAACCATTATAGTATGAAAGAAGCAGATTTTAATATTTGTTAAAGAACTTACTGATATGTCTGTATTTCCCCAATATCAGCCAAAGAAAGAGAGAAGAAAATCTGTCTCAACTTAAAGATAACTTTCTAATGTCAAGATTCAACTTATCTAGTAATTAAGGAATTTTGAAGTTTACACTAATCGAAGGTATTCAAACAACACTTGGACAGAAATGTTTTATGCAGAAGACATTCCTTCAGAGAAAGGTAAACTGGACTAAATAATCTCTCAGATCCCTTCCATTTTTAGGAGTCTATAAGTAAAAAATCAACATCGACTTTAGGGTTATTCTTACCTCTAATGTTTTCAACAAAGTTTGCATTACATAGGTCTTTCCACTGGCAGTATGTCCATAAATAAAAATGGATGGAAAGCTGAAATGATGTCTCTAGGAAAGAAAAGACAAATATTAGCCTACACATACACAGAAAGTGAACATTTATCAATTTATGAAAAAGTTTTATGTGGTATAGTAAAATACTCAGTCCAAATTACTTTAATAGTGAACATACAGTAGATTCATCCTCTCATTTTAAACTTAAATTCAACTCTCAATATTTCTTCTGTTATAAAATTATTTGTAAAATTATATTTGGCATATTTTCTTATATGCTATACCTTATATGCTTATGCTTTTGTTATTGTATAAGTTTACAATATACACTCTGGTATTCTCAATTTTCTAAGAGGCTTAAGGGACTATTACAAGGATAATTTTGTCTGTGCTCCATTTTAATCTTAATCCTTTTAAGCAATCTAATGCCCTTGCAAGCTGCAACTTCACAGTACGTTTTAATGTTTGAAAAGAAGCATAGATAACCACTGGGTTGGAATATATTTCAAAAGTTATCATTCTTAGGAAAACATATAGAATACTTCTGAGGGATGCATACTCACTGACTCTAGCATGAGTGTATACATTTCATCTAGTCAAACATTCATAAAATCTGTATAGTATATATTTCAAAATACATTTTGGGACTAGGGGAGTAGGTTCAGTGGCAAGCACTTGCATAACATGTGTAAGGCCCTGGATTTGATCCCCAGCACTTAAAAAAAAAATTAATTAAATTGCAAGATCCTCCTGCAGTACATTAAGTCAGCAGCCTACAAAAAATAAAAATGATCAAAGGCCACTTTATTGGTCTAATCAATACTACAAACATACTTCATTCATTCAATGAACATTTATGAGATAATTACCAAATGCTGAAAACCATAACACATTGAAAATTGCAAGCATCAGTAAAATGCAACATCTACTTTAAAAGTTTTTATAGTCTAGTGGGGAGATATATATTTTAAAAATAATTACAAGAAAATTGGATGATGCAACTTTCATAAGAAAGTTGAATCTCGATCATTTCTATCTAGTAGATGATATGACTACTAGTTGCAAACACTTATTACATTCTAATCACTAAGTTAAACATTACTTTTTACAAGACAAATTAAGAACTCAGATTTATACCAAAAAAAAAAAAAAAAAAAGCACTTTCTATACAGCATATACCTATGATAAAAGCAGATTAACTGCTAAACTCAGACTTAAAAGTTACAAAATACATTTCTAAATACATGAATCCTTAAGTTTGTTTGTAATAATCTCTTAAGTTAACTGGCTCAAAAATTAAATGCATATTACTGAGCACCTCTGCTATCCAAATAATATATATCACCTTTAAAAAGAAGCTCAAGACCATGCTTTAGGAGTTTTCCCCAAGCTACATTAAATCTCATTTTCTGGAATCCTACCACACTTGTATACATCCACTATTAAATGCCTAGTAAAATCCCACCTTATAACATCTTTTTCTATTATTATCCAGAATTATAGCAAACTTTTACATGGTTACTTAACATTTCACCTTTCTAAACCTGCCTAATAACTGTAATAAGCCAGAATCTGGCATAGTGCTTGGCTCAGTAAATATTTAACTGAATCAATAAATGAATTCTGTTAAGAAACATAAACTGATTGTTGTTGTTGTAATTCTTTGTTACAGCAGTTCTTTGGATTTCTCACGTGAACAGTACCTTGCAGAAAAGTAATGGTTAAACATGATCTGTTAACAGCAAAAATCAAAACCCTTTCTATAATCCATTACTAAATCAATACTACTAATCACTATTTGCCAAAATTATTTTTCAGGGGAAGCACTCTTGGTTGCAGTGATCTGGGTTTTATCTATCCAGAGAAGGAATCAGCAAAAAATGTTTCAGTAATAACATGGATAAGTACAAATGAAAGAATTATAACTAGAAAACTGACTAAGAATGTAGTTGTTGACCTCTCACTTCCCTAATTAACAGTGCCCCTTTAGATAGAGGGTGGGACTTTTCCACTAACACTTCACAGGCCTCTTCTGGCATCCAACATTTCTAGATGGATCAAAGTATATTTAAAAAAGCAAACTAAAAATATGGTTACTTTTATTGACTCTCTTCACAGATAAGGTCCAAGTCTGATTAATTCTAAGCCTAATCAGTGAGTTTGAAGCAAAAGGCACACAGAAAACAATAAAAAACAGATTAAGTTGTTAATTAATGCTACCTCCTGCCTATGGAAAGGACTCTTTAGCTGTGTTCATCCAGAAAACCACCTCTCCTCTTGCGTTATTAGACAAGGAGAGAAGCCTAGGGTAGACGCCTTCAGCTTTTACAATTCTGGAAAAGCTGCTGAATTTTTAAGCCTGATGCACTGCTTTGGCCCTTTATGGCTTTGAAAACCACCACTGTCTACACTTGACTTAAACCAACTACTTCACTTAAACCTGTGAAAATATATTTCAACAGTATTCTGCAAACTCATCTGTCATACAAGGTTCTGTTCTGCTGGGGTAAGATCACACGCAACTTCTAGTAGCTACTTCGAGCTAACATCATCTAAAAAGCATGGCAGGTGTAAAAAAGAACACTTACTGGCCAACCTCCTTTAACACAGACCGACCCTCCCTCTGCAGTATTCTCTGACAGGGATTAATGACAAGATACTTTGGGTGAAAGTGCAAGACAAACCTACAACACCTCCTATCGCAACATACGAGACGGTCTATAACCCCGGAAACACCATTCCCCACCCCACCCCCACTCCGCACCCTGCACCCCGCCACCCCGCACTCCGCCAAAAAACAAGAACGAGTGGCAAGACCAGGTAAATGTTTTGCCTAAGGAGTTACACAACAGTTTCACCACAATACCTCTCCAAACAGGGACTGCAAGGTGGAGACTTGGGACTCGCGACAAAGGACCATATTCTCCAAGTGAGGCATTTTGGCGGGTACCACCGCAAAGGGCAGCTCAGGAATCACCGGCAACAGCTTCCCTTCCGCCTGGTGGTCCAGGCTCCCGCCGGAAACCGGACCGCCGCGCTGTGGGCGGGATCGGTGCGGTCAGGCGTCGGCGTGACGTCAACACGTACGTGAGGCGTTTCCACCGCTCTAGTCTTTCACGCTGAAGTCGCCTACCTCTCGTTTGTCTTTTGCCTCTGGGGGCTATGGGGGAGATTGCTGTGTGATGACTCTCTTGGGACGCAGCGTTTTCCACCCAAGAGCCGAGAAGTGTAGATAGGGATGGGTGGAGAAGGAGTGGAAGAAGCTAAGAGGTCCTATGGGATCCCCATACCGATAGCTTCAGTATTCCCGCCTGGAGCCCCAAATTTGAAAGTCTTGAGCACGGGGAAACACGGGTTCTCGCCTTACTGGGACCTGTGGAAGGCGGACTCCGATATCCAACATTCTCAAAAAATGAGGCATTTCTCTGACGAAAAGGTTAAAAATTCGTGGCGTCCAGTGCAAAAGAGCGAAACAGAATTTAATAAACTTGGAATGACTATTCTTCGTGCAAGTCTAAAAACAGACTCGGATGTGCCTCTCCTAAGGAGAGGAGTTTCAGGTGCTTGTGTAGAAATAATAATTCTATCTTTAGCATAAGATTTTCATGTTACTTATTCATGAAACACCCACTAGAAACCAGACGCTAAAAGATTCTAGAAATACAAAATAGAAAATGCGTGCTAAAAGGAAGTCTTTGGGTTCTCAGAATTCTGGTTTGAGACCAATGACAACTACCTCTGGACCGGGAGACCTTGGAAGAAAGGTTGAACAGTTCATTTTGAACCTCTTTACAAATAGGGATGATGATAATAATTGGTTATTGTTTACTGCTTGGAGTAAAAGATATTACATATGATACCTGCCACACATAGATTTTATAACCAGTGCAGTAAAGCATGAAAAAGAAATGCATCCAGATTGGAAATAAAGAAGTAAACTGAATTTATTAATGGACAATACAATTATCTATTTAGAAAGTTGATGAATTCTACAAAAAGTTACCAGGACTCATAAGTTCTTTACAAGGCTTTAAAATGCAAGGTCAATATAGGAAAGAAATCAACTGAATTTCTATATACTAGCAATAGATATTTAGGAATTGGAACTTAAAATATCAATATAATCTTAATAGAATAAAAATTACAAAATACTTAGGAATAATTTTGACAAAAGATGTAAAAGCTGCACACTAAAAACTACAAAATAAAATTGCCGAAAGAAATTAGATATTTTAAAAACAGATATATTATGTTTGTGAGTTTAAAAACTCAACAAATTCCCAATGAAAATCTTAGCATGCTTTTTTTAAGCGGATAGATATTAATTTAAAATATGTTTGGGGGTGGGTTGTAGCTCAGCGGTAGAGCACTCGCCTAGCACATTTGAGGCCCTGGGTTACATCCTCAGCACCACATAAAAATAAAAAATAGAGGTATTGACAAATACAACTAAAAAATAAATACTTTTAAAAAATAAAATATGTTAATATTTGAACAGATACTTAATGACAAGGTACATCAAACACAATGAAGTGCATGAAAAGTTATTTAACATCTTTGTTATTAGGAAAATTCATAACAAAATGCACACATCTCTTAATGTAAAACTCGAAAAATTGGTCTCTCCAGGAATTGGCCAGAATATAGAGCAGCTGCAACTTTCATATATCATTGGTAAATGCCAAATGGTACAACTACAGTTAGAAAACTGTGGCAGTTTCTTAAAACTTAAGTACTTGACACCTAGAATATGACTCAGCCAGTCCACTCCGAGATGCTTAACTAAGAAAATGATACATGTTTATAAAAAGACTTGACACTACTGTCCATAGTAGTTTCATTTGAAATAGCCCAAATCTGGAAACCCAAATTCTATCAAGAAGTAAATGGATAAATTGTGGTATATTTGTGCACTCAAATACTTTTCAGCAATAATAAGGAATGAATCAAAGTAACAACATGAATTAATCTCACAAATAATTATGCTACATGAAAAAAACCAGATCCCTCTCTTCCCAAAAGAGAATACTGTTGTCACTCCATATCTGTGGGCTCCACATTTGTGCATTCCATCAACCTTGGACAAAAAATATTTGGAGGGGGCTGGGGGACAGCTCAATAGTTACAGCATGCATGAAGCCCTGGGTTTAATCCCTTGAACCCCATGTAAAAAGTCTGTACTAAACAAATATATACTTTTTTCCTTGTCATTATTCCCTAAACAATATAGTACAACAACTAGTTATGTACCATTTGTATTAAATTGGATAGTATAAGTAATCTAGAGATGATTTAAAGTATACAAAAGGGTATGTGTAGGTTGTATGCAAATATCATGCCATTTTATATAAGGGACATGAGTCCACAGATTTGGGCATCTGTGATTTGGGGTGGAGGGATATCCTGGAACCAGTCCTCACAGATATTAAAAGATGACTATATGTTGTATGTTTACATTTTTAAAAATTCTAGAAAACTATAATTAAAGCAAATGTTGGTTGTCTTGTGATGGGGAAGTGGGAAGCCAGAAAGGAATATAATGAAGTCAGAAAGGAATATAATGAAGCCTAAGGACATTTGAGGAAATGGTGGATATTATAGGAAATAGGGTCTTTGCAAACTTTTGACCAGATTATTAGTATGAGCCTTATACCAATATTAATATTTTAAGAGGCCCTGTCAATACATAGACAAAAGGAGAATGCCAAGTGAAGATGTAGGTGGAGTTTGCAGGATACATCTACAGGCAAAGGAATGCCAGTCAATTCAGGTCCTCACCAGAAGTTAATTCAGAAGCTCAGAGCAGGTACTCCCTCAGTCCTCAAAAGAAATTAATGTTGCTGACACACCTGATTTTGGACTTCTAGACCCTACAGCTGTTGAAAAATAAATTTTTGTTGTTCTAAGCCATCCAGTTTGTGGGACTCTCTTATAGTAGCCTTAGGAATCTAATATAATGGATATATTAAGTACCTTAATATTGTGATGGATTCATGGACATATACATATTTTAGAACATCAAACTTTTTAAAAATTTTATTCTGATTTGTTATACATGATGGCAGAATGCAATTTATTTCATATTACACATATAGAGTATAATTTTTCAAGACACTGTACACAAAGCATTTTCACATCATTCATATCTTATACATGTACTTAGGATAATGATGTGTAACTCATTCCATCATTTCTCCACCCTTGCCTCCTCCTTTTCCATCCCTTCCCTTTGCTTTATCTACAGTTCCTCCATTTCTCCCATGCTCCTCCCCCCGCCAGTCGCCATTATGAGTCAGCATCTTCATATCAAAGAAAATATTCGGCCTTTGTTTTATGGGGATTGGCTTCACTTAGCATTATATTCTCCAACTTCATCGATTTACCTGCAAGTGTCATGATTTTATTCTCTTTTAATGTTAAGTAATGTTCCATTGTGTATATATACCAAAGTTTCCCTATCCATTCATCTACGGAAGGACATCTAGTTTGGTTCCATAATTTAGCTATTGTGAATTGTGCTGCTATAAACATTGATATGGCTGTGTCACTGTAGTATGCTGTTTTTAAGTCCTTTGGGTATAAACCAAGGAGTGGAATAGCTGAGTCTAACGGTGATTCCATTCCACGTTTTCCATGGAATATCCATACTGCTTTCCATATTGGCTGCACCAATTTGCGGTCCACCAGCAATTATGAGTGTGACTTTTTCCTCACATCCTTGCCAACACTTATTGTTGTTTGTATTCTTGATAGCTGTCATTCTGACTGGAGTGAGATGAAATCTTAGGAGTAGTTTTGATTTGCATTTTTCTAATTGCTAGAGATGTTGAACATTTTTTCATGTTTGTTGATTTACTGTATATCTTCTTCTGAGAAGTGTCTGTTCAATTCCTTGGCCCATTTGTTGATTGGGTTATTGGGGGGGGTTGGTGTTAAGGTTTTTGAGTGCTTTATGTATATCCTAGAGATTAGTGATCTATCTGATGTGCTTGTGGTAAAGATTTGCTCCCATTCTGTAGGCTCTTTATTCACCTGACTGATTGTGTCTTTTGCTGAGAAGAAGCTTTTTTAGTTTGACTCCTTCACATTTATTGATAGCTGGTTTTAATTCTTGCGCTACAGGAGTTTTATTAAGAAAGTTGGGGCCTAATCTGACATGATGGAAATTTGGGCCTACTTTTTCTTCCTTTAGGTGCAAGGTCTCTGGTTTAATTCCTTGATCCACTTTGAGTTGAGTGCATGGTGAGAGGAGAAAAATTGAAAGCATTCTCTCTAAAAATGGGGAATAAGACAGGGATGCCTTCTGTCACTGCTCTATTTAATATAGTTCTTGAAACTCTAAACAGAGCAATCAGACAGATGAAAGAAATTAAGGGGATACAGATAGGAAAAGAAGAGCTCAAATTATCACTGTTTGCAGATGATATGATTCTATACCTAGAAGACCCAAAATATTCCAACAGAATCTCCTAGAACTAATAAATGAATTTAGCAAAGTAGCTGGATATAAAATCAACACCCATAAATCAAAAGCATTTCTATACCTCAGTGACAAATCCACTGAAAGTGAAACTAGGAAAACCACTGAATTTACAATAGCCTCAAAAATAAAATAAATAAAATACTTGGTTCCACAGTTTAGCTGTTGTGAATTGTGCTGCTATAAACATTGATGTGACTGTGTCCCTGTAGTATGCTGTTTTAAAGTCCTTTGGGTATAGACCAAAGAGAGGGATAGCTGGGTCAAATGGTGGTTCCATTTCCAGTTTTCCAAGGAATCTCCATACTGCTTTCCATATTAGCTGCACCAATTTGCAGTCCTACAGCAATATATGAGTGTACCTTTCCCCCCACATCCTTGCCAAAACTTATTGTTGTTTGTCTTCATGATAGCTGCCATTCTCAGTGGAGTGAAATGAAATCTTAATTTTGATTTGCATTTCGCTAATTGCTAACAATGATGAACATTTTTTCATATATTTGCTAATTGATTGTACATCCTCTTCTGAGAAGTGTCTGTTCAAGTCCTTGGTCCATTTATGGATTAAG